ATCATGACCTGAGCTGAAATCAAGAGTTGGATGCTCAGTTGACTGAGCCACCCAGGCACCCTGGCTTTATGCTAATTTTTATTAGTACATCCCATTTACCCATTTTTATTTTTTCTATTTTTCCTTTTTCTTAGAAAAACAGCTTTATTGAGATAAGATTGACATACTATAAGCAGCACGTATATAAAGTGTACTATTTGAAAAAAAAAATTAAAAAAATAAAGTACTATTTGATATGTTGTGATGTATGTTTATATCTGTGAATTCTCATAATAAGATAGTGAATGTATCTGTCACCCCCAAAAGTTTCTTTGTACCCCCTTTGGAATTCCTTTTTCCTGTCTCCTCCCTTCACTCTACCCTCCTTGTGCCCTGACAGCCACTGATATTTTCTGTCACTATAGATTAGCTCACATTTTCTACATTTTTAGATAAATGGACTCATTCAGTATGTACTCTTTCTTTTTTTAATTGTGGTAAAATATACATAACAAAATTTGCCACCTTAACCTTTAAGTGTACAGTTCGATATCGTTAGGTATGTTCACACTGTTATATAATCAATTTCCAGAACTCTTTTCATCTTTTTTTTTTTTAATTTTATTTATTTATTTGACGGAGAGAGAGACACAGTGAGAGAGGGAAGACAAGCAGGGGGAGTGGAAGAGGGAGAAGCAGGCTTCCCGCAGAACAGGGAGCCCGATGTGGGGCTCGATCCCAGAGTCCTGGGATCATGACCTGAGTCGAAGGCAGACGCTTAATGACTGAGCCACCCAGACACCCCGTGAGAACTCCTTTCATCTTGCAAAACTGAAACTCTGTTATCCATTAAATGACAAGTCCCCATTTCTTCCTCCCCCAGCCTCTGCAACCACCATTCTACTTTCTGTCTCTTAATGAATTTTACTACTCTAGGTACTTCTCCTAAGTGGAATCATACAGTATTGTTTTTATGTGACTGGTTTATTTTACCCAGCATGATATCCTCAAAGTTCATGCATGTTGTAGCATATATCAGAATTTCCTTCCTTTTTAAGGCTGAATAACATTCCACTGTGTGTATATACCATATTTCGTTTATCCATTGATCCACCGATGGACATTTGGGTTGCTTCCACCTCTTGCTATTGTGAATAGTGCTGCTGTGAACATGGGTATGCAAATCTCTCTTCAAGATTCTGTTTTCTGTTCTTTTGCATATATACCCAGAAGTGGATTACTGGATCACGCAGTAGTTCTGTTTTTAGTTTTTTGAGCAAACTCCGTACTTACTTTCTTCAAAGCAGCTGCAGCATTTTACGTTCCTATCAGTGGTATATAAGAATTTCAATTTCTCCACACTCTTGCCAACACTTATTATTTTTTTGATAGTAGCCATTCTAATGGTTGTGAGGTGGTATCTCATTGTGATTTTGATTTGCATTTCCCTAATGATTAGTAATGTTGAGCCATCTTCTCGTGTAGTTACTGGACATTTGTATATCTTTTGAGAAAGGTCTATTCAAGTCCCTTGCTCATTTTTGAATTGGGTTATTTGGTTTCTGTTGTTGAGTTGTAGGAGTTCTTTATAAATTCTGGATATTAATCTCTCATCAGATACATGCTGTGCCCATATTTTCTCCCATAGGTTGCCTTTTCATTCTGTTGTGTCCTTTGATGCAGAGAAGTTTTTAATTGAGATATAGTCCAGTGTATCTAATTTTACTTTTGTTGATAGTGCTTTTCGTTCCATATCCAAGAAATCATTGTCAAATCCAGTGTCATGGTTTTTCCTCTACGTTTTCTTCTAAGAGTTTTATATTTTTAATTCTTATACTTAGGTCTTTGATCCATTGTGAGTTATATAGGAAAATATTTCCAACGGATGAAGTATAAAATGACACCCGATGGCACCAGATTAGGTTGTCGCCACCAGTCACACTAGTAGTGGATAACACCTGAGCAGCCACACCCATTCAGACTAGCCTTCCACAATACTGCCCTCATTCCCAGTTAGGGAAGACGCCAAAAGCTAAGGGCGGAGGTATGCTTTCTTCCTTTGCCTTGTTAGCTGTGATCACGCCACATTATATTTATTTTTAGGTCAGGACGCTCCTTCATTTTTTTGGGCTTCTTCTCAGGAGGACCCTTAAGCTTCTCCTTTTCCTGGTTCCGCTTAAGCCGCCGAAGTTGCTCTTGAATCCTCCGCCGTTCCTTCCGCATCTCTTCTCGATGCTGTTCATCAAAAAGGGCAAACTTCCGACTGAATAGCAAGGGGGAAAAATATCACAGGACCGTAAGCAAAGCTAAACCAAGACGACTGTCCTGATAGCTAAACACCTCAGAACTAAAGTAACGCATCCGGACAGAAATAAAAGGGGCTACCCGCATCCCCATCTCCCCCACTCATCAGCCTTCCATGTGCAGAGCGGCACCTCTCTCAGGATGAGACGTCCTGAGTCATCCCTAAGATTTTTGCCAACCAACCACAAGGCAAAGGACCCAGGTGGAACTGAAAACATGCCTTTATTTTGGAGCAAATTTGCAACTCGCCCTGTGATTTGAAGGAACTACCAGACTATTTTCCACAGTGACTGTATTATTTTTACATCCCTATTAGCAATGTATGAGGGTTCTAGTTTTTCCACATCCTTGTCAACATTTGTTCTTTTTATTATTATTATGGCCCTCCTGTCAGATGTGAAATGGTCTCTCACTGCTGTTTTGATTTGCATTTCCCTAGTGGCTAAGGGTGTTGAGCATCTTTTCATGGCTTATTTATCATCCAGACATCTTCTTTGGTCAAGTGTCTGTTCATCTTTTTAGTCCATTTTTGTTTTTAATTGGTTTCTTGTTTTTCTTCTCATTGAGTTTTGAAGTTCTCTGTGTATTCTAGGTCCAACTGCTCTATCAGGTATGTGATTTGCAAAAATTTTCTCCCAGTCTGTGGTTTGTCTTTTAATTGTTTTAACAGTGTTTTATGAAGAGCAGAAATCCCAATTGTCAGTTTTCTCTGTTTCTTGTGGTTTTGGTATTGTAGCTAAGAAATTTTTATCTAACTCAAGGATGCAAAGATTTTCTTTTATGTTTTCTTCTAAAAGTTTTGTTGTTTTAGGTCTTACGTTTTAGATCCCTTTTAATTTTTGTATAGGGTTCAAGGTATAGATTAAGCCTCTTTTTCTTGCATATGAATGTCCAGTTATTCCAGCTACCATTTTTTATGACCTTTTTAAAATAAAAATTTAAAACCAAAATCTGATCATATGACTTTCTTGCCCAAAGACTTCCTTTGGGTCCTCACTTCTTTTAGAAAGAAGCTCTTCACATGATTTACAAGGTGCTACATGTTTTGGGTCTTTTATGTAACTCTAACCTCCTTTCATCTCCTGTCACTGTCCATCTTGTACTCTAAGCTCCAAACATACTAAAGTTCATTCGGTCCCCTCAATTTCTTTCTTTTGCCTTCCAGGATTTTGCAACTGCTTTTCCCTCTGCCTAGAATATTTTCTTGCCACTCTTCTACCATCTTACCTTCACCTATTTCCTTGGAAACTTACCCTGACTCCTGCCCTCACTCCCACTGTATTGGCTCATCATTCTTACCTTCTTTATGTACATGTAACGCTTGTTACTTTCCTATCAATGCACTGATCATGCACTATTGAATTTGGTTATTTGTCTCTTCCTCACTAACATGAGGTCCATGGGAAAGTAGTGCCTGGCATGTGGTAGGTGTTCAATAAATACCTGTTAAATCAGCGAATGATTGTAAATGAGGTTCGACAGAGTGAGTGAAGAAGCATTGTGGTGTTCTTTTGAGGTTGGAGTGAAAAATGAGTAGATGTCTAAGAATTTCAGAAAGTAAGGATTTTGTCAAATAGCCTTCGAGATTGAATCTTGATTAGCGAATCGTGTATACTCTTAACTGGTCTGTGTGGACAAGCGCATTCCTCTTGTCTTAATTCCCTGATTATTTTGCAGGGTCAGTAAATACTATTCAGGGTCCCAGGAGAGGACAGACATTTTTGACCAAACCAGTGGCAGAGGTAGAATGGACCCTGGGGTTAAAGCCAGTACTTTGTAAAACATGCTTATCATTTAATTATAGAATGTATTGGCTATTCTAAAGAAGCCATTTGAGCAGTTGGGCAGTCAAATGCATCATCAACCTCTTTGAGCATCATGAGGGTGGGGAGAGTTCTTTGAGAACTCTCAGTATATCGCAGGGCATATGGGGCTGAAGGGTACCACTGTTCCGCATATTCCTCCTTATACTGGCTGAGATCTTGATTTCTGTTTAATATCATAACATAAGTACCATAGAGGGGAGGAAGAGTAAGCTGAATACTGGGCAGCTTTATATGCAACTGTTGATCTTTGTGGATAATTGAAGAAAGCATCAAATTGTCCATTATTGTAATTATTCAGACCTTCTAAGTATGGCTAGACGTAGAGCAGATGTTTCCCATAGCCCTCAGAATCTTTTTCTATACCTCAGGTTCGCACTGCTCCTTGGAACACCACAAGGGCTTTCATTGCTGCCATGAAGGGCAAGTGTCTCCTGGAGGTGACTGGGGTGGCAGATCCTACAGGGTGTGGTGAAGGATTCTCCTATGTCAAGATTCCAAACAAACCAACACAGCAGAAGGTGAGACTGTCTGAAATCCTAGAAACTAAAAATCAAGGGAGGAAGAAATGGAGGTTAAGGAGTGAAAGTGAAAGGGCTGGAGGATCTGGCACTTAAGTTGACAGGATGGCTTAGGTGCCTCCTATAAGGAGTTCAGCTTATTACAATTTTGCCTGTTTTATGTTGGAGGTAGGATGATAAGGAGCCTCAGCCAGTGAAGAAGACAGTGACAGGAACAGATGCAGATCTCCGTCGCCTTTCACTGAAAAATGCCAAGCAGCTCCTACGTAAATTTGGCGTGCCTGAAGAAGAGGTGAGCATGGAAGAGGAAAACTTAAGAGTCTCCTAGGGGGGCTTCGTACAGAGAGGGAAAAGCTAGGAGGCAGAGGCAAAGAACTATTTGGATAATTTTGTGGTGTAGGTTGTAGTACACTGGATCTTAGGCACTTTTTCAGGAGTTAGCTTTGCCCGAGCTTTCTGTTTAACCTGCTTTGGGTGTTTTTTTTTTTGGTCTGGCTCTCTGTGTGCCTTGGTTTATTCTTTGAAATCTCTGATGATTTAGGTTGAAATCTCTGATGATTTAACGCAGAACTATACAGAAAATCTGTATGTGTTTGTGTCTTTCTCATAGATTAAAAAGTTGTCCCGCTGGGAGGTGATCGACGTAGTCCGCACAATGTCCACAGAGCAGGCCCGCTCTGGAGAGGGGCCCATGAGTAAATTTGCCCGTGGGTCAAGGTTTTCTGTGGCTGAGCATCAAGAGCGTTACAAAGAGGAATGTCAGCGCATCTTTGACCTACAGAACAAGTGTGTTGCTTTAGTGCTGCAGAAAATCCAAGCTGTAAAGGGGAGGGGTCCCAGACACTATATTATAATGAAGAGGAGGTCACCTGATAATGTGACTAGGTGGTCAGGTATCTGAGATTTCAGGGTGGTATCTGTTCACGATACTGCTAGAACACCTACTCCTTTCAGAGTAACTTGGCAAAGGTTTTGCATTGGCAAGAGGTACTCTAGGTTCCATGGCAACTTTTGTGGCCTACTTGGGCCTGGCAGTTATTACAGTGTTGATAGGGGACAGTAAGTGGTTTTTTGTTTTTTTTCCAGAAGGCTTACTTGTGGGAGGATGGTAACGCTCTGTTAAAAATTACCAGTGTGCTGTTTTATTTCTCAGGCTTTCTCTAGGAGTTCTGAAAGAGTTGCTGTGCTATTTCGTATTTTAGATTTGCCTTGTTGACAAAAGTCGGGGAAAACTTCGTAAAGCTTTTCTGTTAAGGCCCCCATATCTTAGTGGATTTTGGGTATTCCTTTTTAAGGTTGATTTCCCAATTTCCCACTGTTGCCTAAAAGCACATTTCTTCAGCTTTTCATGCACTTTCATGTTTCCCCTCATCCTAATTTGTAACATCGTTTTTTTCTCTGTTCAGAGTTTTGTCATCAACCGAAGTATTATCAACTGACACAGACAGCAGCTCAGCTGAAGACAGTGACTTTGAAGAAATGGGAAAGAACATTGAGAACATGTTGCAGAATAAGAAAACCAGCTCTCAGCTATCACGCGAGCGGGAGGAGCAGGAGCGGAAGGAACTACAGCGGATGCTACTGGGTGAGGGTAGTGGCTTCACAGACAAGAAAGAGAAGGATTGGAAAAGTGTAAATAACCGCAGACTAAGAACTGAGCCAAAGCTGGAGGCAGAAGAAGTAGGGAATGAGTATAGAAAAGCCTGTAGATGAGGTAGAGAGGTGACCACAAACTGGACTGGAGGTTTGTCTGGGGGGCCCAGATTGAAGAGATGCCGCCAACCCACTGCTGCCTCTGTCTGTATCGGGCCTGTCCAAGCCGGGGCTAGCAGTGCTGTACGTCACGTGAGCTTTCTGGGCATTTGTCCTAGAGGCTAAGAGTTTTTAAAACCGATTTCGTGGATAAATTTGAGGGGTTGCTCTTGAACCCTCTGAAATCATATGTAAAGTTCTGTGCAAATGTGCCTTTTCTGAGAAGATCCGTGACTTGCAGAAGATTCTCAAAGGAGTCCTAGACCCTAAATAGAGTTAAAAATCACCAACCAAAAATTGTGAAAGTTGAGAGTGGGGATGATAAAGGCCTGAACTGGTTTGGGATATGGATATTGGGAATGAAAAGAGGTGAAAAATCAAGTTGACCTTAAGATTTCACTCCGGGCTTGCCAGAAAGATGGTGGTACCATTGATTAAAGTAGGAAACTCCAGAGAAAGAAGCAGGTGTGAGAAGGGAAGATGTAATGTGTGGAGTTTGAGGTCCCCCACGACACTTCCTGGTATAGACGTCAAGCAGGCAAATGAAAACTTGGATATAGATACTATGAGAGGGAGGGTAAAGGCCGAAGATGGAGATTTAAATGACTGTTCTCACTCCCTGTAGTCTTTTCCTTGGTTTCCTCCTCTCTATAAAAGCCTTGTATAATTTTGTGTTCTGACTACTTTGTAAAGATGTGATAAAGCCTTTCCACTGGGGCGGTCCTAGACCAGCAGTAGCCACATCACACGGGAGCTTGTTAGAAATGCAGATTCTCAGGCCTCACCACAAACCCTACTGAATTGGAAGCTAGTGTCAGGTGATTCCTCTTCATTCATGTTCAGGTTTGGGATGCATACTCTAGGCCCTAAGACTCTGGGCTTGTTTCTGTGGTGCCCTTTTCCCCTTTGGTGCTTGGGTGCTTTTCTTTAATGTGATCATCAGTTACTTGCTACTTAGACTTTCTTCTTCTGCTGTTCAGAGGAATCAGGATACATCTATTTTTCTGTCCCCTCTAACAAACATGTAGTTCTTTGAGTTCCTTTCAGAACTTCTCGTACTGAGAAAAATGGGAACAGTGGCAGTGGTAAAATGGAAGTCAGGAAAGGACAAATCAGTGTATTTGCGGGCTGGTGGTGATGCTGATGCTTTCTATAGAACTATACGATGCCTTCAGTAGAACTGTACTTTTGTGGCACGTTGAGCTTCGAGGTCTCCAGTCTACCTCGGAAAAACGACCGTTTGGGTGGTAGGGGGAATGTGTGGAAATCTTTTTCTGCCTTGCAGCAGCAGGTTCAGCAGCATCAGGAAACAATCACAGAGATGATGACACAGCTTCTGTGACTAGCCTTAATTCTTCTGCCACCGGCCGTTGTCTCAAGATTTATCGCACATTTCGAGATGAAGAGGGGAAAGAGTACGTTCGCTGTGAGACCGTCCGAAAGCCAGCTGTCATTGATGCCTATGTGCGCATACGGACCACAAAAGATGAGGAATTCATGTGAGTTTGACTCACCGCTTTCCAGTACGATGAGGAGGATGATAAAAGTGGTGGGGGGTGGGGATGAGGTAGGTGCTGGAGTTTGAGTGACAGGATTCTGTACAGTTGGAAGTTGGAAGTTGGAAGTCTTTGTTGGTTGGGTGCCTTTAGGTCTTTGGGTTTGGGCAGAGTCAAATCACAGGGCAAGTTGCAAATTTGCTCCAAAATAAAGGCATGTTTTCAATTCCACCTGGGTCCTTTGCCTTGTGGTTGGTTGGCAAAAATCTTAGGGATGACTCAGGACGTCTCATCCTGAGAGAGGTGCCGCTCTGCACATGGAAGGCTGATGAGTGGGGGAGATGGGGATGCGGGTAGCCCCTTTTATTTCTGTCCGGATGCGTTACTTTAGTTCTGAGGTGTTTAGCTATCAGGACAGTCGTCTTGGTTTAGCTTTGCTTACGGTCCTGTGATATTTTTCCCCCTTGCTATTCAGTCGGAAGTTTGCCCTTTTTGATGAACAGCATCGAGAAGAGATGTGGAAGGAACGGCGGAGGATTCAAGAGCAACTTCGGCGGCTTAAGCGGAACCAGGAAAAGGAGAAGCTTAAGGGTCCTCCTGAGAAGAAGCCCAAAAAAATGAAGGAGCGTCCTGACCTAAAAGTAAATATAATGTGGCGTGATCATAGCTAACAAGGCAAAGGAAGAAAGCATACCTCCGCCCTTAGGTTTTGGCGTCTTCCCTAACTGGGAATGAGGGCAGTATTGTGGAAGGCTAGTTTGAATGGGTGTGGCTGCTCAGGTGTTTTATCCACTACTAGTGTGACTGGTGGCGACAACCTAATCTGGTGCCATCGGGTGTCATTTTATACTTCATCCGTTGGAAATATTTCCTAGGGGTTGAGATAGGCTTGGTTGAGAGAGATGTTTTTTATGTGTACATTTGTGTGTGTGTGTGTGTGTTTGCATGTACCCATACACACATCCTTTAAAAATTGTACACATTAAAAGAAACTTACCAGTACAGGTTGCTTTCCATGACTTAGGTAGGATTCTAGATATTACTATACTCTGTAACTATCATGTACACCATAGAATGAGGCCACTGCTGTGTAAAACGATAGCTGTCTCATAGTGGTGTTGCAGTAAGTGATACAATGCCTGGGAAGCACTTTACAAACTGTATAAAGTTCTCAGCAAATGTAAACCGCTGGTGACATGTACTGAGATCATTAATATTTTCACTTGATCTTAGCCAAAAGGCTGAGAAGCGATGAGATCATTAATATTTTCAGGGTTCTTTCTTATATATGATATTCTATAAATACGATACGGTGTTGAGGCCATTTTATAACTGACCTCAGTTTCAGAGGTCAGTAGCAAAACTGAGACGGAGACTCGGTATTACTGAGCCCTTTCCTTGGGATTGGAAGTTTATACCCATGCTGGCTGCCTGTGCTGCTGAACGCAGCCTTGGGCTTCCGACAGACTTTGTCCTGCATATTTAACATTTTCATACTCTCCCGAGGGTGGAAATCCTCTCCCTTTTCTTCCTCGCTTGATTTTTTAAGAATGTCCAGTCTCTGGATTGCATTTTATTTTTGGTGTGTCATTTCCGCTCAGGCTCTTTTGTCCAGTGGCTTCAGGTTGACAGGTGTAGAACAGTTCTGTTACGACAACAGTTGTGTACCTGCCTTGTATGTGTTTTGTAAAGCGAACATTAGGCCGCCTGTTTACCTCTGACATGTTGCTACTTTTCCTTTTGCAGCTGAAATGTGGGGCTTGTGGTGCCATTGGGCACATGAGGACAAACAAATTCTGCCCCCTCTACTATCAAACAAATGCTCCACCTTCTAACCCCGTTGCCATGACAGAGGAGCAGGAGGAGGAGTTAGAAAAGACGGTCATTCATAATGATAATGAAGAACTTATCAAGGTCGAAGGGACCAAGATTGTCCTAGGGAAACAGCTAATTGAGAGGTAAGGGATAGCAGGCGGGAAGTGCTGTGGAGAGATCCGCTGGAGGTCGATGATACAAAGGGTGGCACAGGTGGATGTGATGTGTTCTCTGAAGTGGAGCTCCGAGCTCGGGAACGTTGACGGCTTTTCCTCAGTTGTTGTCAGCAATGACAGTTACGGCCTTTTGTCCTAAAGCACTCCTCAGGCTCTCCCACTTGCCTCGGGCCATGCGACCTAACTTTTAACCAAATAAAACCATCCTTCCCAGGGTGGTTATGAAGATAAAATGACAGACTATATAAACATGTAGTACGGTGCCTGGCATATGGTAGGTGCTCTTCCTGTTCTACTTCCGGGCACTCCTCACATTTGTTGAGTCCCTAATCTCAGAGTGTTCCGGTAACGGACCATCCCAGAAGGACCAAGGAGATGTAAACTATGCTTATCCCTGTCTCTTGCTTTCAGGGAATTTAATAGATAATCAAGTGGAGAAGTTTTTAAATTAAAACATTTTCCCCCTAACTTGTGAGTTTGAAAATTGCAAACCTACAGAAAAGTTGAAAGGTTAATACAATATATCATTCCTCTAAAGTCACTAACTTAACATTCATCGCATTTGTTTCATCTTTATATGTCTAAAACTTTTTTTTTTTTTTTGCTGAACTCTTTGGAAATAAGTTGGACGCATCTTGTTGTTTCACTCAGAAGTTCTTTAGCACACATCGTCTAAGAATAAGGATAGAACAACAGGATACTACTGTTACACTGAAGAAAATTAGCATTAGTTCAGTAGTATCTAATATTTGGTTCCTACAGAAATTTCTCTGGTTATCTCAATGTCTTTTATGGCCTGCCCTACCCCCAACTCAGGATCCAATCCCCGTTCAGACATTAAGTATTTTGAGTGTCTCATTCTAGAACTGTTGTCTCCTATGTTGGTTTTCATGGCATTGACTTATTTGAAGAGTCCAGGCCAATTGTCTCCATATTCTGGATTTGTCTGATTGTTTTCTCATTGATTATGTTTAGATTAAATGTCTTTGGCAAGATTACTACATAGGTGATATTATGTACTTACTACACCACATCAAGAAGCACATAATGTCAGGTTTTCTCACTATTTTGATCATCTTGTTTAAGTGGTGATCCCCAGAACCCTCTATAATAAAGGTATGTTTTTCCCTTTGTAATTAGCATGTGGGTGAATATGCTGTTCCCTAACAGTCTTTCTCTCAGTAGTTGTAGCATCCATTGATGATCATTGCCTAACTCCGTTGTTACATCGGGGGTTGCAAAATAGTGCTTTTTCTAATAATAGCATTCTTTCTACATTAACTGGCATTCTGTAAAGAAGAGCTTTCCTTTCCTTTCTGTTTGAGTATGTCTATGGATTCTGAAATTCTTCCTTTTGTAAACTTAATGTAATATAATTTATTAACACTATTTGTAATTGTGATGCCCATATTGTCTTACATTTGACCTCTTAAAGCCAGATCCTATGTCCTTTTGAAACAATCCTGTAAATCTTTGAGAACATCTTTGCTTTCTGACACAAGATGTTCTAGGCTGTCTTTGAAATTTCCTTGTTCGAGATCTAGAATCAGCCATTTCTTCCAAGGAGCCCTGGTTCCTTTTATCAGGGAATGGCATTTAGAACCAAGATCTAGGTGTTAGGTATGCTCATTGCCACTGAGATGTCATTGCTTCTAGGCTTTTACTGGACAGAACTAGGAAGTATACATTGTAAACCACACATCAAAACCTTCGTATCGAAACCTCCATTCAAGTCATATCTACGGATTCTTCTTCCTCTTGCCCCAGTCATATCTGTATCCTTTCTCTGTTTCCCCGCATTGATATGTTTATTCATTTGTTCTGTCTGTACATTTGTATGTACAGAATGGTTTGAGAATCATAATACCAGTACCACTAACAACAAACCTATAAAGTAGATTTGAGGTGTTTTCTGTAGTTTGCTGTCCTTAGACTATATGCCGCTACAGTTGTACAGTCAGGGTATTTTATGCAAAATATATTTAAATTCTCTTTTGTCTGTAATTTTTAATCAATTTGATTTGTTTTGATCAATTTTATTTGTTTCTTACTGAGGTAAAATTCGTAGATACCATTATGTAAGCTTCAGAGGTACAGTATTATAGATCGGTATTTGTATACATTACAAAGTGATCACCACCGTAAGTCTAGTTACCACCCATCACCATACAGTTTGTTTTTGCTTCTCTCTTAGGTTTGGGGCTCTTTTTTCCATTCTTGATTTAATTTATCAATATCTGTAATAGTCATTATGTTTTGAGGCACATTAGAAAAGGAAAATTTAGTGTCTTGATCCCATACAAAGGAAAGGAAGAAGGTGAATGGGCTTTTAATGATTGAGGGAAACTCAGACTAGTTTTTTTTTTCAAACCAGTTTTTCATTTCTTCCTTGTTTCTTCCATTGTAAGTTTAGCCTCGTAGCCCTTGAACCCTAAGGTAGAATGTTGGAGCTGGAAGGGTTCTTGAAATTCCGTTAGCCTAGTTCCCTTATCTTCCAAATAGGAAACTGAGGTGAAGTTGTGGCTTGCCTAGTTCTTTATTAATTTGGAGATCCTCTGAGGCCTTGCCTGATCTGAGCCTTAGAATGTGGATGTCTGGCCTTTGGTTTGGCTTTTTCCTCCCCAGGCTCATGCTCAGGTACTTTGGACTTCTTCATTGTAATTGCTTTTTTTTCTGGGGACTAGAGATAGGGACTGCATGCTATGAAAGTGTTTTTGATTACAGTGCAGATGAGGTTCGCAGAAAATCTCTGGTTCTCAAGTTCCCTAAACAGCAGCTTCCTCCCAAGAAGAAACGGCGAGTTGGAACCACTGTTCACTGTGACTACTTAAATGTGAGTATCTACGTTGCCTCTTTCTGACCAGATGGGGTTCTCATTGATTCCTCCAGCCCTCTAACCCATGGCTCTGGCACAGCCTTAGATTGTCCCTTTGGCCTTGCCCTGAAAATTACGTGTACTGTTCATGACAAGATTCCTAAGCTATAGCTAGAAAGTATTGTGTGTTTGTTTTTCTTATCTAAAGAAGCACTCTGATTTCTTGGTTCTCCCTAGAGACCTCATAAGTCCATTCACCGGCGCCGGACAGACCCAATGGTGACATTGTCCTCCATTTTGGAGTCTATCATCAATGACATGAGAGATCTTCCAAATGTGAGTTCATCGCATTCCTATCTACAGTAGCAATGGCAAAGCCCTTTGTTCTGTCTGTGATTTCAGATAGAGGGCAATAGAGTATACTTATAGGTATGTGGAACTCCTCTGATTCTTTGGGATGTAGTTTTTTGGGTTTGTTTTATTTATTATTTATTTTTTTAAAAAGATTTTGTTTATTTATTTGTCAGATAGAGAGCACAAGAGGGGGGAGCGG